AAAATTCTAGAATTTTTGTTGAAGTTAGTTATGTTTAAGTCATTGAAACTTTTTAGGGGGTGAGATCATTTGAATTTGATAGAGTAATTCAGGGCAGAGACAGCAATTTCGAATTCCCAGGTTTTACTTATAGCTGGAAATTTATTTCCTGAGTGGAGAATGTTCCCAGGGGTTCTCATAATGAGTTGGGACTTGGGTTAATCTAGAGATTGCTTTTGGATTTCAATATTTTCTGAATTTTGCTTGGACACCCAGTAATATATTTTCTCTGCAAGCAAATCTACCTTTCTATGGATTGGTACTTTGATGTGTGAACTTTGTTGGATTTAAAAGAGTTGGTTTGTTAACTTCATTTAGTTTCTTTAATTCCCAGATTGTTCTCCTGTAATTTCTTTTGTATGGACTTGGCTTGCAGATTTGATAGTGTCGACAAGAACAAGTTATAAAACTTATGTGTTTTCTCGGTTTAGGGTATAAAGCTACATATTATTTTTGATAGGAGGAATTACAGTGTTAGGTTAGTATCTGTTCGAGGAAAGTCGAGTCTGGAACTCGACCTGAGGACCAGGTGCGTTCCACCTGCTTCTCACTTTGGAGAAGCGTGGCCGTCACTGCAGCCACATGGGGGAATGCATAAAGCTATGTATTATTGATATTTGTGTTGTTGCCTTTTCTTTTTTTTCTAATTTTTATTTATTGGCAGCTGAGAAGCAATTTAAGGAATCTAAATTTTTATTTTTGGTTGAAAAACTTGATTCGAGAACATTCTTTTAGCAAAGAATGACTTACAGGACAACCACCATTATTGAAAGGAAAGCATCTTTCTGTGTTAGATTTTTGACTGTTTAGTTCTGAAATTTATATGGTTGTAATTGAGTCTTTTTTCCTTTTTTTTTTTTTATTTCAACTTTGAAAGCTTGCTTTTATTGATAATTACATAATACACTGCAGTATTTTTTACATTTTTCTGCATTTGAGACATGGTAGGATTTGGTATGGCTGTCATCAGAAGGTATTATTATCTGGTCCGGTAGTAATTTTCTACGCTATGGCTTCATCAGGTTACAAGCTCTTCCTAGCTTCCCACAGTACTCTTTTGGATGTTTAATGTTCTTTCTGTGGAATAGTAGAGAACTACAAGCATTTGACTTTGTTTGCTGCCTAAACTAATTTTAGGTGCCTTGGTTGAACGCATACTGATTGGGTATTGCATTTACTCATCCATGTGTATTTGTGCGTAATGTTACTTGTGACTTAATCTCATTCATGGTTTAGAGTTAAGTAACTATTAATTTTATAAGCCTTGGAGTGGTTTGAGTTTGAAAGGCGGGATTGATTTGTGGAGTGGTTTGAGTTTGAAGGGTGGGATTGATTTGTGGAAAGATTTTATGTCTATCACCAAGTATGTTAGTTTTGGTTTTTCTCCAATAAGGTTGCCTGTTTAAGATGTGAGGTAATTAACATATTTGGATTTTAGCCTATATAATTTTATGGCTTCTTGGGGTTTGCCAACACCAGATTTTTCATGTTACTTCGGTTGTGTATAATACTATTAGTAATACCAGATTCTTCTTGCCTTTTCTGCGTTCGTATGGGTTTTTAATTGTTTTGCCCTTGATGCTTTGTCTCCAATAAGGTGCCTTGCTAATGAATATTGACATGTTCATGTGCTTTTTATGACATTTTATGCAGTGCAAGTAAGGAATTGAAGACTGAAAATTGACAAAGAAGATAGGCCTACCAAAAAAGTTTACAAGTAAGATTACTCAAATTAAAAAATATATATATATTTTTTGTGTTGTCTAAAATGATCAAATTGGTAACTATGTTAATTTTGCTGCAATGCAGGGGTAAATGCAAGAATTAGCAAGTGTTCTGAACAAAGCACTAACCTATAACTACCTTATAGAAGATCACAATAAAAACCACTTTTTTGGGGTTTCAAGTAATGGGATTTGGGATGAAGGATGTCTTTTTTGAAGTGGCTTTGGTTCTGATCTTCAATATTTTAGTACTCATTTACTGTCTCATTATCTTTTTGCTGCAACAAGCTAATTTGGGATGAACAATGTCTTTTTTCACTACTTTAGGACTAATTCACTGTTTTATCATCTCTTTGGTGTGACAAGTTGTTGAACTTTCTATAGTTTTTTATGATGTATTTATGTTGCAATGTGAATTTGCATGGCAAATCAATGAAACTACTAGGTTGTTTAATTTGAAATTTGAAATATGCTTCTCTGTTGCAGCTGGGCAATATCTCCCTTTCTTTCTTTTTGGTTTTTGCTTTTTGCTTTCTTAATCTTAAGGTTCCTTTGTATAGCTGCATTGATAGTTTGTTATAATTGTCTCTTTTTTTTCATTTGACAATTTTCGATGTTTAGGACAAGTAGAATGATTTACCCACCCCTTAGGACAACTTTTGAACTTGGAAGTAGGAAGAAAATCTCATACATTGATGGCCCAAGGCGTTAAAATGGTGTGCCTTATGTGCTTATTTGTTTCCATAACCTTTCTTTTTGTTCCACTTCTGAATATTGTATTGATCTTCAAGAGCTTCTTTGTGAATGCAAATATCTTCCTAATAATCAATTTAATCAGGGATGGCCAAAAAAAAAAATTTTAATTAGGGCCTTCCTTATTCCATCCACTGTATGGCTTTCCTTATATGTCTATGAGTAACGTTCTTCACATTGATTCATTTCTTAACTTCTTTGGATACTAAAACTAGAAGCATCTTTTTTGCATAATTTGTTCTTGATGTTGGCATACCTTTTGTTTTGGTAATCATCTGATCTTTGAGATGGGTTGTCAAAGATTCACCATTTCTTTGTTTGGTAATCATCTGATCTTTGAGATGGGTTGTCAAAGATTCACCATTTCTTTG